ACATCTTCAAAAATTTGGTTTTGTTACGAGTTGACAACAATCCAGAAAAATCAATGAGCATCCCGACTCGTATGCAGACGTGTGTGCATAATAAAACCACAAGTCAATCTTATTGTTTCTAGCAAACAGAAGATCACCAACATTCACGGAAAAGATGGAATTCAATTTATAATATCTGATTGTGTACATACAGTGTCTGGGCGCATGAAGAGAGTATTCCATGACCGTGTATTTCCACTAGCTTCAGATGCCTTCTTTTCCTCTTGTCTCTGCTGCTTAAATGTTTTTGAAGATTGCTTGGTGTTGGCAACTGTCCTACAGATTAATAAACAAATTATAGCAAGAAAGGTAGATCCTAATAAAGAAGGGCAGAAAAAGGAGAGGGCTTCTTTTAACATACATGTATATGCACACAATCTTCAGGGGTATGAAGTTATGAACATAGACAAGAGTAGGAAACACCACTTACTCTGTTTTCTCTGAAGGAACTTTCTGCTTTGCTGGCATAACATGAAGTAATCGGCCTTGAAAAATTGAACTGTCCAGCTCTGTTAATGCCCTGGAGAACAATAAATGTACAATGTGAGGAATCACCAGAACATGCAAAGTCAATACATGCACTAATATATATAGGACACGGAATTTATAGCATGAATATCAGTGTGCTTCTTGCAGGTAAAGTAATAGATTTAAAAAATTGCAGTAGCTTAGAATTTGGATGCTGATTGACAGGTACCTAGCAGCAGATTCTGGTAATGAATAGAGAACATATGCAATTCCCTTGGACCGCTTTGTATCTTTGTCAACAACAATATGAACCTGTGAGACACTGCCAAATTTTCTAAAATGCTCTTCCAGCTCCTCTTCCCTGAGTCACAGAACCAATTATTTTAACAAGAACACATATTAGGCACATTAAAATCTTTAAACACTCAACAACATATAGTGATTCAAATCACACAAAAAATGAAAGGGAAAAAGAAAGAAGATGCATTACGTAGTAGTGTATGGAAGATTACGAAGAAATAATCGTCCACTCTCCAGATCTTCTTCTTTTTCATCCTTAATACTTGATGAAGGGTCAGCAGGGTCAAGTGATCCATTGTTAAATCTGGAGAACTCATCATTCAACATTTCCTCTCTATCATCAGGTTCAAGGATATTACTAGCATTTGCATCTTCACTACTCTTGCCACCTTCAGCGTCACTTTCGTTATCACTGTCATCGTCTTCACTACTTTCTGAGTCGGACCAATCTTTCCTCACTTTACTTTTGAAATAATCCATATCAGTCATAACTTCATCATTACGGGAGCCGTCAGGTTTCTCAGATTCTTCACTATCTGAAAGAGATTCTTCTTTTTTGCCAACTTCATCTACCTCCGAGTAATCAGCATCCAATTTTTTCTGGCTCTTCTCTTTTCTCTGGGATTGCTTATTGGCATCCTTTTTACTTCGGGCAAGAGATGGAGCTGTTAGTGTATCATTTGCCCACAACTTTGACTTACTCCGAGGCTGCATAACTTCAAGGAACTCTTGAAGATGAGGATCCTCATCTTTACTCTCCTGTTTACTGTTCACTTTGTCCCCTTTTAAACCTGCAGACTTAGAACTTCTTTTTACTTTTGCATTCTCATCCTCTTTTGTCGGCTTCTCTTCTTTTTTCAAAGTGTGCCTGCTCCATGGACGAGGGATATTTGGATCCCCAATTTTCCTAGCAACCTGGCCATATGCAAATGCATCTTATGTTATCATTTACCCATACCTCCGAAAATGACTACTCTCTTATAGAAAAAATAAATTATTGACGACAAACAACAACAAGAAGCCCAATGAAATCCCACAAGTGGGGTCTGGGGAGGGTAATGTGTACGCAGACCTTACCCCTACCTAATGAAGGTAAGAAAACTAAATTATTGACAACCTACGAAAATATAGATTCAAATATTTCACAATGAAAAATAGAAATGCAATATAAATAACACCCAACAAGATCTTCCGGAGCTTACAACAACTTCCATGAGGAGATTTTCTCTAGATTACTTGGAAAAAAAACTATGAAGGTGCCATCTTTTATAATTGAATTATACGTACCTACAAGTCTTTACAGAATATGGAATAGAGATATGCATTTTCTTACTGCACTAAGTATGTATGCAGAATATCAGAGTAATTGAAGCAGAAAAAACATACCTCACAAATAATACGGCTACTATCCATGAAGGACTTGTCAAAATACTTGAGAGCTTCCTCAGCTTCTTGCTCCGTTCGAAATCCGACAAATCCAAATTGCCTGCTCTTCCCATCTCTGCTTAACGTGAAAAATGAAAATCATTCGAACATGAAATAATTCAAAGTCAGAAATATATCCCAAAGATCCCCATACAAGCAAATAGCAGCTTATATATACCAGTCCAAAAGTCAGTTCTTGTAGAAAACATCAAAAACAACTGAAAACCCTTAATGTTACTTTACATAAATAACAAGTTTTTTACTAGTTGTGGTTGGCTGTCACGGCTCTCTGTATCAGTTTCCCGGCATTTTTACCCGTTTCGGTCCAACAAATTTAGGATTCTCTACAGCTCATATTACTATCAAACAGAAAAGTAGGAAGAATAAAATGGAAAGAAACTTAACTGAGTACGCATGAGCTTGGCGTCAGTGACTTCCCCCTTCTGGGAGAAGAATTCTCTGAGGCGGTCCTCAGCTACATACTTCGGCAAATTCTTCACACATATTCGGGACCTTCAATACAAAAAAATACATATTAAACATTTTAACACTATCCAAAAGAACCAACTCCAAAAGTTAAATCAACCAAAAACTCAAAACTGAATTCGGGTATTCTTTAATCAAACGTACACCAACATAATCAATAACTCTTACAACCCCACCAAGAGAAAATCAAATCTTTGCATCCCAAATTAACCAAAAACACAAAACTCCATTTTGAGTTTATTCAAATTGAATAAACAAAAAGAAAAAAGCAATAATTTTACAACCTGCACAAGATAATTCAAATATTTGCATTTAAAAATCAACCAGAAACTCAAAAACTGAATTCTGGTACTCCTTAAATTCAAACTTAAACAAAAATACTGCATAATTCTTGCAACTCCACATAGAAAAAATCAAATCTTTGCATCCCAAATCAACCAGAAAGACTAAACTCCATCCTAGGTATTATTCAAATTAGATAAACCAACAGAAAAAGCAATAATTCTTACAACCTGAACGAGATAATTCAAATGTTTGCATTTACAGATAAACAGAAACTCAAAATCTCAATACAAAAGGCAATAATTCTTACATTGTGCTCTGTTGCTAGCAAAATTCAACATAAACAGCTAAAACCTTTAACGAATTGGTGCCGTTTTTTTTTTCTGATTATGGTTTTGCTTCAAAGCATGAAAGGCTATTGGCGGTAGGGGTTTAAGCGACAGTGAGCATAATATGGAAAACGGATCGGGTCGGCGTAGAAGTAGGGTTGCAGTCTGCCCGTTTATGGGGCGATATGCACATATACCCCTTTTGTTTAAAACATGACCAGAATTTACAAAGTATTTAAAATTTAATCGCCTTCAAATCAAACTTTAAGGATCCATTTGGCCATAGATTTTGTCAAAATATATTTGGATTTTTTTTGGCAAATATATGTTCATAAATTTTATCCATATTTTAACAAATTCCTAAAACCCAAACTTTGTATTTTATAAAAGAGCCCACAATTTATTATTTTGTAATAATATTATTTCCTCTTCTCGGTCATCTGATACTATATTATGTAGTTCATTATAAAAATGATAATTTTGTACCAAGTTTATTTATGTTCAGGACTATGGTTTGCAATAATATAATGAATGTTATTGATGAAGGTACTGTTTTTTTTATGAAAGTACTATTGGGTATTTGTGATAGTTTTTAGAACTTGTGGATATAAGTCATGTTTCATATTTTTTTCAAAAAAGAAACAGTGAAATATGTTTTGAAAACTCATGTCCAAACACATTTTCATCTTCAAACCAAACTTTACCCAAATCAGATTTTTCAAAATAAATTTGGGAATCTATGGACAAACGCTAGCTAAGTCTGAACGTTCAAAATTTCAGACCTTAAGAATAATAGCATGTTTGGCCAAGCTTATTTTGGTGAGAAGTGATTTGCATTTGGTTAATTAATTTAAAAAGCACTTTTGAGCAGCAATTAGTGTTTAATGAAGCTTTTAAAAACTGCTTCTAAGTGTATTTTCTCAAAACTACTTTTTAGAAAAGTTCTTTTTGGGAAGAAGCTATTTTTCTGCTTCTCCAAAACTACTTCTATTTCTACTCAAAAGTATTTTTTTTTTCCTTCTAAACGCTTAGCCATATATTTTAACTTTGAAAAAAAAAATATTGACAAAAAAGCTTTTAGCCTGCGGTGCCAATAAATAATTGTCTGAAAATTATTAAATCTGACTAAGCTTTTAATATGTTATAAAAATAACTATAATTTAAATAATATGACTAAAAATGACAAACTTGTGCTATTTCTGATTTAAAAGCTAATCTAATCATTATTAAGTAGAAACTGCATAAATCTTAGGCCTCAAATTTAAAATTTGGATTTATTTCATACAATTTTCTCGAGTTTTAAGAACTTAAATTCAAAACTTTGATGTGATAATTTATCAATTGAACTTGAGTGTTTAATTATTTAAAAAAGATCAAAACTATTAAATTTGGTGTCTAATTACATGGAGTGCGATTAAATGGAGTATAATTATCTTTTGCAAGGTCAAATCGTAGTTGTGCTAATTTAGAGCAAAAGATGTAATTGACACAGTGTTTATTTTGTTTAGGCGAGCTAGCATATGATAGGTTCCATAAAATCATAGATTAGTGATTAAGAGATTTCAAAACCGTCACTGGTTCTATTCCCCCACCAGCTACAATATTTGTAGCTTTTTTTCTTTTTTTTTTTTAACCCCCTGGCGGTAATAAGACCAAAAGTGCTCATTCTTAACAAAATTAATGGGCTAATAACGTTTAGAGGCATCTATTTTAGACCTGCAGGCTACACCATTTAATGGCTGTTCTGCTCAGTATCAGTAATTCAGTATAGTTCCCTCAAGCCCTACAGCCATGAGATCATTTCTAAAACTGCGTTTCCTTTCTTCACAATCCCTTGTCTCGCGTTTCACTCCTAATTCTTTGCCTTTCACATCATCTTCCCAAACAGAACCCACCACAACAAGCACAAATACAACCACTTCTCTGAACCAAGAAGAGCTTACACAAATCAATCTTTTAATTCCACGTTTATGCTCTTCACACCACCTCAAAGAAGCTGCAAATCTCATAACCACAGCTTTTCTCACAAACCCATCTTTAGAATCACTCTCCCTTTCCATTTTCATTCACAGGCTCTCTCTTGAACCTGACCTTACACAACCCATGTACTTCCTCAACCGCCTCAAGTATACCCCAAAGACTCAATCTTTTTTAATACCCATTTGTAAAAAGTTAGTTTCTTTGTATTTTAGAGACAGACAGGCCAAGAAAGCTTTAAAGATTTTCCATTGGGTGTCAAGGCCTGATTTTCCTTGTGTTGTAGATTATGGATTGTGTGCTCTTTTTGTAAATGGGTTTTGCAAGAATGGTATGGTTGTGGAAGGATTGAAGGTTTTGAGGATGATGGTAGTTGGGAATTTGAAGGTTGGGGATGAGGTGAGAATGTGTGTGTATAGAAGTTTGTTGAGGGAGGCTAGGATTAAGGAGGCACAAGAACTGAATGAAGCTTTGAAGTGTGCTGAGAATGGGGATAAGGGAAATGAGGAAGTGGTTGCTTTGTTGGATAGTGTCATCTCAGATTGGATTGAATAGAGAGAATAAGGTAACTAATTTGGCAAAATGATGACTCCATTGGTGGCTAATGCTATTTGGTTTTATACAATATGCTTTGTGCTTGTGCTGCTTTTTTTCTTTAAGAGAAGACTAAAATGAAAATGGTTGTGATTGCACTTCTGAATTATGAGCTTCACTCAAGTTGGTTCTCAAATTGTGTTCTAAGGCTATGCATCCTTGAATATCAGCTAAGTTTGTGCAGATTTACTTCGTTATATAGCGGACATATCAACTTGTAGTTTAATCAACTAGTGTTTATAGCTTCGATCCATTCTCAGTGGCTCTAACAATGGTCATATAATCAATTTAGTTTGTTCTTGCATGATACTATACATATCTTTGTTATTTCTCCGTGGGATAGTTGTCATACTGATTTGTTCCTCTATTTTGCTCAATTTTGCTTTCTTTTTATCAGAAGTGTAAACTTCCAAAAATGCTTATTTACATGCAATGTTCTGTACCAGCAATAGCAGACAAAGGTAGAACACAAAATATCTCGTTGTGGAAAATGAAGTGTCAAAGCGGTCAGCTTTATAAGAATGCACTTCTGCGTCTAACAAGCTTAAATGCTTTAATCTTTTTCTTCGGAAGGTACATGTCTGTTTGACTTACCATCAAGCTTGGAATATGTTATAACTTATATACCTTCAGTATCCCGTCCCCACACCACTCTTCTAGTTTTTATTTCTATTGTTAATTAGATGCACTTATAAGTTGCATGTGAGGTTAAAAATAAGTGTCTCGCAAGATCCTGTCTCTCTCACATCCATGGATGGTTGGTGGCTGGGGTGTAAGTACTGCTGAATGTTTTAAGCAGCAGCGCAAGACAGAAGAAATATGCTGCAAAAGTCTTCATATTGTCTCTAATTGTTTAAGTTGTAATAACTTATTTAATCATAAGTTTCAAGATAATGAAACGTGGTTTGAAAATTGTGGATAAAGGTGGATAATGGGCAACACATAAAGATGCAGGAAAACACAGAAATATGCATAGCTAGACTGAAAATATTTACAGGAAAACCAGTAGAAGAGTATGCTTCTTATGACTCCTTGCTTGTTGTACAGGAAGGTTGGAACTTGATAGGACTTGCCTTCTTTATATAGCCTTCTCTTAGTTTCCGTGCATCTTTGCGTTCGTAAACAGTTGCGCATTAAGCAAAAGATGGAAAGGACAAGCTTCATTCAACGTAATTCAACCTTTGGACAGAAGCGCATTTCTAATTCAGGGCTTCAGTTCCTGATGTATTTAGCTTCTTGACCTAACTCCACTGTCATCCAAAAAAGAAAAAAAGAAAAGATAGAACAGGGAGAGAAGGCTTCGTGTTTAATATGGAGAGTGGGTTTAAGGTTGCATATTGTGTTGTTTAAGCTTCTCAGTTTTAAACTGTTAATAACTCTACTATTTCTTATCCCTTTATTCTAGATATCAAGAATGCACCATGACGGTGTTCCAAGAAAAAAGGAAGAGCTTTGACAAATAACTTCCTATGCAACATTATCAGCATTTTGTATTACTTAACAGAATGGTTACCATGATCAAGCTCTCTGGAAAAGTTTCATAAAGAAAAGCTGGTAAATGATTTTTTTAAAAGGGAAAAGAGTTACCATTGGCTATGCTGTCTATTATTTTTCCTGGCAGCTCAATTTGTGGATGCAGAATACTTCATACCTCTTGCTTCTTGTGAGTGATCCATCCCTAATATTTCATTTTATGTTTTGGCCCTCGATGGAGTAGTAGGTAAACAGACAGATCTCATTTTCGTTTCTTAGGCAACTCGATAGTGCATATTTGGGATTCTTCTTCACCTATTGGACTTATTTGCAATATCCAATAACAAGAAACATGAAAAGATAAAAGAAAAGTTATATTAATTACTAATTCCAGTAGGGTTGTAATGGTGAAACTATTCCAGGTGTATTACTCTAGTTCAGTGATAAGAAAGCATCAAGCATTTCAATAAGAGATTTTGTATACTGTCTGGTGCTCCATGTGTTAAAACCTAAGGGGATGACATCGATCACCTCTTTAATACAGAGTGACACAAATTTGTGATATCTTGTTTTGTCTTTGTCTGGGGTTCAAGTAGTGCTGCCGACAATAGAATCTAGGCATCATTAAATCAGCCCTGCTTGGGGACATGAACATCATAACTCAGTCGCTTTTACATTGAAGATCTTCTAGTGTATGCATAGCTGGAGATGAGATCTAATTGGTTGTAATATGAAATAAAAATTGATTCCTATGCATAGTGATGTTGTTGGGCTTTAATTGTTGTCGTATTCTTTGGTTAGATTAGTTGAAAGTTTGAAGATGCTTTTGTTGTAGAACATCTAAATGTTTTTCCTGATATTTGACATGGCTCCCTGGCTTCAGATCTGATGCACTATTATTTTTTTCTTGCAGTATTGATATTCCTCTCTAGCATCTTGGTTCATTGTTGCAATTCATTCTCAATTGTTCCTCTACTTCATCTTTATCTTGAAGCAAAAGACAACCGGCTATTTGTGGATTTTCATTTTGGTGCTGTTAACTTTTCGTTCCAGTACCTTGGAACTGTTGGTGGGATATAGGAGATCATGTAACAAGTGACCAGTGAAATTCCTATTGGGTAATGATCTTGTAGAGCCAGATTGCTCCCTTCATCTTACAATCTTGAACTGTCCATTCATTTTGGAGACTCAGAAATATGTCATGGTTAAGCTTTTGTATATCATACCATGAAAATATGGTTGATATGACCAAGCAGCCGATGGCGGTGGAGATGGTAAAGGTTCTTCAGTCAGGCCACTGCAAATATTATATGAATTCCAGATTGTTTATTCAAAATAGTGGGAGATGGCGCGGAAGTTCATTGCATTTGCCTCATCACAGCTAATGGATGAACCCTGTCCAACATTGATATATTTATTAATGGACTAAGTCTTGGTCCTAAATTAGTTGGAATGATATGTATCAATCCTTTGATTCATTCAGATCTCTCGAGTATTCTGATGATTTATCATAATATTAGGCGGGCGGACTATGCTTTACACAATTACATAAGCAGAGTTTCCAAGTCTGATAAATAACTATCAGAAATAAGTAAATACCTAAAATGTGAACTTTCCTGTCATCCTTAACTAAAAATTTTGATAGTAATTTGAGAGAATATTGCAAGATAATTTCATGTATAAGTGAGTTGTTTATGCTGAGTGTTATAAGTATTAGCATATTTCTATAGTAAATATTCTGCCAACATGATGAAATTACAGAATGGTAAATTATAGGTCTTGATCATGTCTACTTAATTGAATCAATTCATATCAGTTATTAGAGAAATGTTGTGGTAAAACTTTCATGAAAACAATGTGGTAGTTTTTGAAGGACGCGATTGGATTTATATGTTAACCATTTTATGTATGAATGAAGGTGTTCTTGAGTGGGCATTGTTTTTATGTATTCTTAGAGGCTTGTAGACATATGTCATGTACGTGAAAGATTGTACGGCCTTGTCGGCCTATGTTTTGAGTTTATAAATGATTATGTTGGCCTATTAGGCCCGNTTATGATATTTATGTATTCTTAGAGGCTTGTAGACATATGTCATGTACGTGAAAGATTGTACGGCCTTGTCGGCCTATGTTTTGAGTTTATAAATGATTATGTTGGCCTATTAGGCCCGTATGTCATGTGTATATGATGATTTAATAAGAAAGATACATTACGTTGGTACTCGGTTGAGTAAGGTACCGGGTGCCCGTCGCAGCCCATCGGTTTGGATCGTGACAAAAGTGGTATCAAAGCAGTTCTTTCCTAGGTATGTCTACAAGCCGTGTCTAGTAGAGTCTTGTTTATGAATGTGTCATGCACCACACTTATAAGCAGGAGGCTACAGTGCATTTAGGATTTTTACTCTTTCTTCTTACTCTAGAGCCGTGTGGTAGAGCTCACTTATAAGAATTTAAGTTTGTTACACTGCCACTAAACTGTCATTTTAGGATCACATCAATATATACTACAAGAGGATGTGACTTAGCATCATAGATTGTACTACTTTTGTTTTTCTTTTGCCAAATCTCAAATTTTATAAAATGAAATCAAAACTGAGCACAATTTTAAAACTCACGTGGTTAATTATTCTTTATCCCAGATGGGACAGGCGACTTTTACCATCAACAATAACCAAGGAATTTATTTATAAAATTTATTTACTCCACGCTAGTATTGAATTTTTAAAAAAAGAAAATAAAACCCCGGAAAAACCCCTTGTGGGTTTGTTATGCTGACAGTAGAGTGGATAACGTTCCAAGAACCTAAAATACATCTATGAAACAATTCTCTTTACTGAAATTCCACTAAAATTTTCAGCTCATTCCCAATACAGCGCTGTAAAAATGGTTTCTTCAACCATTCTAATTCAACAACCAACAAACTTGTTCCACCAGCCAGAGTTTCAGCATCAGGTAACACATCCAAAACACCCAACAATGTTTTTTTTCTCTTTATTTCTGGTTGTTGATTATATATTTGATTGAACCAGTTGTGGAGACAAGGATGTGCTGCACCGTTGCAAAAGCAACCCATTATTATATGTAGTAGTAACAAGGGAAGAAGCAGACCCTTGAGAGTTACTGCAAGTGCTAATGGCGCTGCAACTTCTTCCACTCTAGAGGGTTATGATTCTTCTCCAACTCCTTCTGCATTTCCTCTTTTTACACCCCCTTCTCAACCCCATGATACTCCTGCTTCTCAGGTACCTTTTACTTTCCACAAGTTTTCTTCTTTTTCATGTTCTTGAAGTTCCTGTTAGTTAATCGTCAGGGCCAGCTCAATAGAATTGGGGGCCTAAAAACAAACAATAATAAGATACCTTAAATTTATTTTTATAAAATTTATATACTAATGAGATATAATGACTTACTTGTTGCTCTATAAAGAGAAATAACTAATTCAAGAAAACTGAGTTGAAATTGGAAAGTGAAATCTTCAGAAACAGCAAAAAGAATGAATGTATATAGAGGAGGAAAGACCAAAATTGAAGCGGGGGTGAATGCACTAAATAACGAGAGAGAAGAAACCAGACAACCTCAACTAAATTCAAAAAAAGGAAAAAGAAAAAACATTGAAATCTCTTATTAATGATAATTATATAAATTATATATTATATATAACAATAGTAAGCTCATTGTTCAAGTGCTCTTTTCTGCTGTAAGAGTTTCGGCACTGCATACTTTTTCCTATATGCCTTAACATTTTCAGTTAGATGTTCACTCTCACATTTCATGTATAGATATTTCATCTCCGTTATTACATAGTTACTGTAATGGTTAAATTCCCTCTCTTTTCTTTGTCTTTGTCCTTTGATTTTCTTTTGAGAAGCCGTTGAATATATATATTTTCCTATATGTTCTATTTGGTTATTTCAAATTATCCTTATTTTCTTTTGTTCTTACTGTTGATTATGGTGATATAATATTTCTTCATGAACAGCTGGAACTGGCAGATCCTGATTTCTATAAAATAGGATATGTTAGAAGTTTTCGAGCCTACGGAATAGAATTCAGGGAGGGACCGGATGGGTATGGAGTGTTTGCTTCCAGAGACGTGGAGCCTCTCCGTCGAGCTAGGGTGAGCACTACCTTACACTATGTTTATATGTGGAAAGTTTTCATTCTCCTGAAGGAATATATAGCTTTACCATTGGAAGCAGTGTCGAATTCGGTGATCCATCAATGTTTAGCTGTACCTAACGATGAACTTCATCTACCACCGAAAATTGGACTGAGTGGAAAAAAGGACATGCAAAAATTATAATACCCTTTAATCTACTCTCCCTCCCTTCTTTCTGGGATGAGTATCCTTAGTTTATTTCACTCATTTACTTATTAACAACGATAAGTTATATAGGGCCAGTGTCTTGGCACTTCTAATTCTTCTCCTGCTGTAGTGTATTCTATCTTCGCCTTTAGTTTTAGACTGTGTCTAATTCACTTGGCATTAGCTTGACTTTTGATTCCTCTTTTGTCATTGATTATCTTCACACCTTTTCGTTATCACTAAAATCTTTACAGGTCAATGAATGAGGAGGTTTGTTTGTCATGCAGGTAATAATGGAAATTCCTCTAGAACTGATGTTAACCATAAGCAAAAAGCTTCCTTGGATGTTTTTTCCAGATATCATACCTGTGGGACATCCAATATTCGACATTATCAATTCAACTAATCCTGAGGTAAAAAGACGCATTTTTTCCTATTAAATCTTTTCTGATGGTTCACATGGGACAATATTTATCAGCATTTTTAGTTGTTTATTCTTTGATTTTGTCATTTTTATTTTGGTATTCCAAGATCTCTTGTTATTTTTTAATAGTTTACCTTTTTATGGCAGACAGATTCGGATCTGAGGTTGGCATGCCTTCTTTTATATGCTTTTGATTGCAAGGACAACTTTTGGCAGCTTTATGGAGACTTCTTACCTAGTGATGATGAATGCACTAGCTTCCTTCTAGCCACCGAGGTTTGAATATGAGTATCATCCAAATTTTGATGCTTATAATTAATGTAATATTTTCAAGAAGATTCTACAGAAATGCTATGCATTCACAAAACTAATCCTCATTTTGTTATGGTGCTGCCGAGGTTCAAGTTGGAGTAACTTGAAATGTGTGAAAAGAAAAAAGCTTTTGTGATATTCACACTGTTATGTGACCTTAGGACATTTTTTTTGATAAGGTAAATTGTATTAATCAAAAGGGAGAGAACACCCGTATACAGGAAGTATACCAAAAAGTAGAGAATTTACATCAGAACATGATTCTCTACAAAAGACGCCCAATCTTCTATATAAGTAGGGGCTATATGAGTGCACCAAAAAGCGATCAAAGATAAAAGACTATTCTTAAGATGTGAAAAAGGAGACTTAATCCCATCAAAAGCTCTCCTATTTCTCTCCCCCCAAACTATCCACATGAGAGCTAACGGGGCGAACTTCCACGCCTTTTGCTTTCTTCTTCTACGGAAACTGGCCCAGCTATATAACATTTCCTTTACCGTGCTTGGCATCACCCATTGAATACCAAAAAGATTCAGGATTGCCCTCCATAAAGCCGAAGACACAGCGCAATGCAACAAAAGATGATCAACTTCTTCCCCTGAGCTTTTACACATGTAGCACCCACTAAACAAGTGTAATTCCTCTCTTTCGCAGATTTTCAGCAATCAAAATCACTCCCCTCGCCGCTAGCCATGCAAAAAAGCACACCTTCGTGGGTGCCGTAGGAATAAGATGTTAAATTTCTAAGATAAGTTTCTTCTACTGAGTCTTGTTCTGTTGCATGACCGTTGAACCACTCTTCTGCAACAAAGGTCTAATTCGGAAATACCAATATGTGGTTGAAGCTTCTTCACTTCTGTGCTTTACATTTCCATAAGTCAGCTGGGCTGGTTTTGGTCAGAAAGATTTGTTGCAAACAGCACAAAAAGTCTAATTCGGAAGAACCATTTTGGTTATCTAACTGAAAAGCAATATCTGGTTGAAGCTTCTTCACTTCTGTGATTTGCATTTTCTATTAGTCAGCTGGGCATGTACTTGGTAGAGTAATTTCTAGAATGTCAATTCCAGAGTTATAAATGAACACTTGCTGTTTGTGCCTGACACGTTCACGCTCTTGCTTCTTAATGGTTTGTGTGATGTAGGAGGACCTTTTGGAGTTGCAAGACGAGAAGCTTGCTTCAACTATGAGAGAACAGCAACAACGGGCACTTGAGTTTTGGGAGAAAAATTGGGTATAGACAATCTTGTTCAATCTCTTTCCTCCAAATTCCTGTCTATTAACACTGTCTTTTGACTTTTTTTATTTGTTTAGCATTCTGCAGTACCCCTCAAAATAAAGCGTCTTGCTCGGGATCCTGAGAGATTTATTTGGGCAATGTGTATAGCACAATCTCGAAGCATCAACTTGCAAATGAGAATTGGTGCACTGGTTCAAGATGCAAATTTGTTGGTACCTTATGCTGGTGAGAAGA